AGTTAACTTAGTTTCCGGTATGTAATTATTATATAAGTTAACTGTTATATATTTATTAATACTGTTAAGTGAATCTAGCGCCGAAGTGTCGCTATGGTGAGAGTGAATTTTAAAGAATGCATTTATTCTATTGTGGTTTATGCGCTGTCGGCGAAGTAAATCTAATTCAATTCAATAAGTTTAAATGAAATGCAAGAAAAAATGCGTATAATTTAATATTCCGTACAAGGAAGTCATGTGGTGTACACATCAGATTTTTTTACTATATTTTATTGTATCACGAGTTGAGTAAAAACGATATTCGAAACTCCAAGCGCTGACTGTTATTGAAGAAAAATCATTGTCGGTACCATTTTCCGTATCTACCTGTTACTGATGAAAAATAATCATTGTTGCCACCATTTCGTCATCTACGATTAACTAAAAATCTTCATCACAAAACTACATAAATTATCGAAAAATTATTCAAGTCAGTATGTTGAGAACAGTTATTAGTATTATTTATCGATATAATTTGCTTCACGTAATCTTCTTTAAATCCATTTCTTTACCTATTTGGCGTATTATTTATTTTTCTCAAACTTGGAGAAAATAAAGAATAAACTCTTGAATTCAATCTCATTGCTGTTTCTTCTTTCATATTGCAATACTAGAAGCAAATCCTGCCAAGACTTCCTCATAATTCATATTGCTGTAAGCTTTCTATTTTTATCTCCAGTTTCTCTTTCCTTCTGGGACTGAAGATTTTTCCGTGCAGCATCTTGGGTAAAATTCCTTAGAACCGTTCCTTTGGTAGATATTACGTGTTTCAAATTTCAGATGAAGTTACAAAAGAAAAACATTTTCTTATTTGCGTTCTGTAGTAAAAGCGGGTTTGACACCTACGCTCAGCGATTCCAGCGAGCTCAGAATGATAAATTTGATATTACGCGTTTATTTTTAGCAACTGATTCAGGCTTTGCTTAGTTTTATAAGCAATCTTTTTTACTTTTGCTAGATTCTGAATAGGATTTTACTATAGAAAACAATATTTTTTACTTTTGCTAGGTTCTGAATAGGATTTTCCTATGAAATATTTAAGTAGAAAAACAATTTCAGAAAATAAATATGCATGTGAATTGATAGCGTTCTATGTTTAATGCTCTGAAATTGAATTAATCTAAAAATGGATCACTCGGTTTTTCAAATAAATTCGACAACAGAAATTAATTTTGAGAAAAAAAGAAATGCAATAAAACAGCAATAAAGTATTACTATTAAATGCAAAAGATTCAGTATTCCTTCTGAATGCTGTTTATTTAGAGGAGATTGATCACTATTTATCCCCCCCCCACCCATGTATGTATGTCACCATATCAGTATTTGGCATGATGGTATTTGGTAATGATGTAGCACGTGATCTACCGCTTTTAGTTAGCTACTTGTTTTTTATATAGCGCCGATAAAATTGTTTGTTGTTTGAATCATTTTCCTCAGTCATTTCATCGCACTTCAAAACATGAAAGCTGATGATTTTGATTTCCTTCTACGAAGTAAAGAAAGTACTGCAATCGCAAAAAATTTCGGGAATCATATTTCAACCGCTCTCGAAACCATTTGAACGATGTTTTTGCGCGACTTGTGTACGTACAGACAGAAGAAAAGACTGTTCTTGCCAAAAATAATTGTAAAATAGATTTAAAATGGATTCAAAATATTTTTTTCTTGACGTCTGTACGTAAGAAAATACATCTATACGTACGTACGTACGTATCTCGCATAACTCAAGAACGGCTTGCCGTAGAACGTTGAAATTTTGTACATGGGACTGTTCTAACATGTAGTTGTGCACCTCCCTTTTTTGTTGCCATCGGCTGCATCAATCTTATATAAATATATATATTCCATCTCTGTTACCTGGCTCAGTGCTTATCTTTTTTATTCTTATCTGTTGGTAAATTGTGAATTTTTACTTTTAAAGTGATTGAATTATGTGGTTTTTATGCATTTTGTTAATCTGCATTCAATAGTACTAGAATTATCAAGAATTTAAAAGTGCGAGTTTTAAATGGTGAGTTAAGCCTAACAAAGCACCATTTGTTTACGTTTTAAACTCAGTAGAATAGTGAATGAAGTCAGTTTCTGCACTTTTAACGTCTTTTTGCCAAGTGGGACCAAAATAAGCTTTCTGTTTTGTGCACCGAAAAATCTACCTTTTTGCCCGCTGACCGAATTGCTTGTTTTTGTGTAAAAACCCTAATTTTAATTTTAAAAATCGTTTTTTAACAGTTTTAACTGTATTGGAGGTATTTATTATTTTCTGTATTTTACAATTTTTAATGAAGGTGTTTTGAGTTTTGTGTATTTTTGCTTTGCCACAAAGTGAGAACCGAATTAATTGAATGAGAAATACATCTCTAATGAAACTCGAGGAAATACGTTTAAATGAAATGCAGCAAAAAATGTTTTATAACTCAATAGGCCATACAAGGAAGTCACGCGGTGACCACATCAGAATTTTTTTTAATTTTATAAAGCTTTTATAATTGAATTATAAAATTAATTAAATCTGGAGTACCGCACCTCAAATGTTTTACGTTATTTCGCAGAAGCATGGTGGACATCAGTTCATAAAAGTGGTGACTCTTTTTCAGCCTTTCTGAGCGATATTCGTAGTGGATATGATTGAACGACTCATATCTCTTTTCAGGCCACCTCATGCTTTTGTGTGTAAAACTAGAAGGAATTCAAATTTAATAGGTTCTTAAATTAATTAATGCAATCACTTTGATTTATGTATTCTTGGGTATTTGTATTTTCATACTTAAAAATAATCTTTTATTGGCGCCACCTAAGAAACAAACAACTAACTAAAGACAGCAAACAACTAATTAAAGGCATAATGCATCATTACCAAGGGTATTTATAATAACCTTGTTGCATGAAATACTTTCATTAACGTTTTAATCGTGCATGAAAAGAGGTATTTTATATGCAGTACTCGAGGCTAAATAAAATCACTTCCGTTCCAAAAAAATATGAGTTTATTAAGTGTTTGAATTTATTAAGTGTTTGAGTTTAATAAACGGCGATTTATGCACTGCACACAATGGTATCAGTTTTAAACTTTGCAAGTAAAATAGTAACTATCAACTCATTCATTAACCAATTGAAAAATAATAATAAAAAATTAATACTAAAATTAAATTATTTATACAATTTTAAAATTTTTTATAGAAATACTTTTTAAACTGCATATTTGATGAAATTTCATCTCTAACAAAAAATTATTCAATCCATCTATATGTATTTCAAGAACAGGTCTTCGATTAATTCTGTTCTCAGTTTCCAAATACGTCTGGTAGCTTTTTCGATCAGCCCCTCAGTCCAAAAACTTTTCTTAGTGCTTCTTTAAATTCGATTGATGATGGTATGTCAAGACATTTTCTGTCACTTTCACTATCAGTTTGTAGAGTCATTAGGACTTTTTTTGGAAGCAGGAGAGATGAAAAATGAATAGTGCCGTCGCCGGGACTTGAACCAAAGATCTCTCGAATGCACGCCGGGCGTGCTGACCATTACACCACGAAGGCATGCAAAGAAGGCGGCAAAAATACCTTATATACTTCTCCCTTTTAAAAGGAGACTGGGGATTAGGGAACCCACTCGCCAAACTCTGGTGGTGGAGCAATGCCTTCGCCAGGACTGGAACCACGGACCTCTCGAATACGCGTCGAGTGTGCTGATCACTACACTACGAAGGCATGCTAAGAAGGCGGGAGAAATACCTTACAAGTTTCTGCAATTCTCTTAACACATTCATAGTTTCATTCAGTTTTTATACATATTATCTGAAGATACTTATGAGTTGACACTTATTCTAAAAATAAATCCCTGTAACTTCCCTCACTGATATCTGAAACATTAGGTACAATTTCCACTTCCTCGGAGGCTTCTTCTACACAAAAGTTAAATTTTCGAAAATAGGTTTTAGCCGATTTTAAGAGATTAGCCCCCTGCATTGATTTTACTTCAGCATGACTTCTAGCAGGAACATCGACTTAATTATCTCCTTCGGAATATTTACATTTTCAAAATATTCAATTCTTTTCATCAAGTACTAAACATCTCTTTTGAAATGGCATTTAAAACCTTTTATAATACTCTAAAAATAAAGATTAATTGTTAGAAGTTTTATTTGCAAGAAGAGACCCTAGTAATTTTCAGAAAGGGATCAGAGATTTATGTTCTGAACAGTTATCTAGTTAATAAAGCCATTTTGTCATTTTTCATTTCGCTAGTAAATTCTGAACTTCTTTCATATACTGAGATTTTCTGCACAAGAAATAGAAACATTGCCAAAACCCATTGCTGCCTTCTTAGTCCATATCGCATGTTAATAACTAATGTTTTCTTTGAGTTTCTTAGATCAATTACTGTTTCTCTTTTGAATATTAATGTGTGTTCTGGCAGTGTTCCGTAATGCAGTCCAGTTTCGTCTGTATTATAAATTCGCCTGTCTTATATTCATTTAGCTGTCTAAGTGAAATATCTTCCATCCATTTATGCGCTGCATAATGATCGGCTTCTTCCTTTTCAATTTACAACTCCTGATGTACAATCTTAGCTTTCATTTTCTCCAACTTGTGAGGCATATATCAACTGGTATAAAATTCTCTCCTAGACGTTATTGAACTAGTTGAAAAAGCTTAAATAGAAAAATTTTTTAGCTTTATAGCTTGAAACTATTCTAGAGAAGCAATTTCGGCATCTCTTGATTAGCTCTTTTTTGGTCTTCCTTCAGACATTTGTATTTCTTTTAGTTTATTAGCACTGTGTAGTTTGCTTAAACAAGGAATCCTTTGTTGTGATTCCTTGTTTAAGCAAACTACACAATGTTGTGAAAAATACAAATGACTAAAAGGAATTTAGAATAAACATTCAAATTTTTTATTGGAATAATTAACAGAAAGAACAAATTTTTTTCTCTTAGTTTATTGTTCTTAGATCTAGACACTTACCTCTGTATCCACCGCCTCCGCCTCCAGAGGAGCATCCTCCACCTCCTCCGCCGAAACCACCGTCGGATTGTAAAAATTCCTCATATTTCTGGCAAACCTTTCCTCCACGTCCTCCCTTTTGAAGAGACTGACCACTTATTGGTGGCGCGACTTCATCATCCCATCCTCCACCTCCACCTGAAAGTAGGGAAAAAACTCCAAGTTAATGCCTGTAATGTTAATACACAGAGTAAATATTTTTAGACTTCTAAAACTCGTGCATTTTCCCAAACTCATCCTATTTACTTATCAGCATAGAAAAAAAAAAAAAAAAACTAACCACAGGATGGAAAGAACTGATAAAAGCATCATAGGCTTAAAACATCTTGACGACATAGCACAGCTTGTTGTTATTAAGGATGACGATTAGCAGCTGAAGTAATACCGTAACCGCTACTGATAACAAGGAAAGTTCATTAACACCAAAACACTTTTCTATACAAAATTGATAAAAATGAAGAACCGGAAAGAACTAAAGAAACTGACATTAAGTAGAAAAGCTGGAAATGGGATATTGTCTCATTTTAAGAAATTAATAACAAAAGAAAAGATTTCGGAGAGATCAGTTTTGGGTTGTGACGCCTTTTGATACAATATGAGATTTTAATTCTATATTTTCAGTCAGCAAGTTGTTCCTTATCCCATATTGTAGAAAGGAGCGTATAGTGCGTTTTAGGCAGACTTTGCTGTAAAAAATTCTAAACTATTGGACTTAAAGCAATTTTTATGTAAAGAAAACGAACGCAAAAAATGTTGGTTTAGGGATCAGACAAAAATTTTATTTCAGTAAATACAAATTTTCAAAATTTAGAGTTTCTGCAAATGTAATTTGAAACCAGTATATCAAACTAGACTAGAAGAGAAACACGCTAATGTGACAATCAAAATCGTAAAAAACAACCTTATATTTAGCGTAGGTATAATGAAACACTCAATCGATTTCGAGGGCAGCTAAAGGTCCCTCCTCATCAGGAGAAAGAAATACATAGAAAGAAGAAAATAGGAATCACAGAAACACGTGGTGCTTATTAAATATAATGTTCTTCGCACTTAATCCATAAAATTCAGTTCAAGAGCAATATCGCAAAATAATTTTAAATTGAGCGTATCTTTACAATTTCCGATACACAGTCACGCGCGCTGGAGATAAAAATGCTTTTTCTGTACAACGTTGCCATGGCTCTCTTCGAACTCCCTGAGTTTGTTAATCAGAAATTCATTACAGTTTTATAAAATAAGAAATCTATAATAAGACAAATTCAAAATTTGAAATTAGGGCTTCCAGATCCCATATTCGCAGTAGGATTACGTCATTCAAAACTTGATGGCTCTAGGTACCATGTTTTTATCACAGTGCGAGAAACATACATACATTTATGCAGATTCTTCATTACTTAATTTCTTCAAATATTATACATGGCGAAAATATTTGGTGGCAACAGTTTGAAAAGTGGTACAGCCTTTTAAAGATTTTGGCGCAAAATGCCAAAACGAAAACAATAGTTCCACGGGGACAAAGCAATTTAAAGCAACTTTTGTACTTTAGACTAAAAAGCAACTTTTGTTTAGCGTTATATTTTAAATATAACTACGCTAAACAAAAAATAGGTTTCTTTACGATTATTTAAAATCTACGGAAAGCAAGGATTTCTTTTATTTGCGTAATTTAAATTTCACATTATCGTGTTTCTTTTCCATTAAATAACATTAAGTTCGAGATCTGAGGAACTAAACATAGCTTTTAGGATTTCTTGCCATTGTATTGCTGTTGCAAATAGTTTTTAGTGCTAAGTTTGGAGTCATTAACGCAGTTAATTTATCATGCTTCCTGGCATCAAACTACTTAAGAATCTCCAGAATGATACATGTATTTCACTTTTTAAACATTAGGATCTCCATTATTTCAAAGAAATAAATGTAAGAAAATTATAACAAATAGGAAGATTTGCTTTATTAAATATCAAAAGCAATGTATTGTTTAACTTGCATTTAAATTATTGCCTTAGGCAAAAATTAGAAAAAAAAGTGCCTAAAAATAAATTATTTTGTTTCAACCACTTTACATTAAAACATCTGCCTTTTTATCATGATTAAAACGTAGAAGAACATTTATAGGATAAGAAAATAATGTATCAATAATATAATATTTATATTTTATGGCAGATATATTAGCATCTATCAGAAATTAAGCTCCAACCATGAGGTTTTGAGCAATATCTCTCCTAATTTTTTACTAGCTATAAAACTGTAATGTAATGCAGAATAACAGAAGTTGATTTCATTAAAACTTTTATGTAACAGTAATAGCAATATTTTATCTACTTTTATGAAAAAATATTGATATATAACTAATTTTCTGCTCTGAACGAATTGTTAATTACATCACATATAGCTAGTAAATAAACTTAGCTACTAAATAAATATAGCTACTTCAATAAAGCTATAATTCATTAATGAGGTAAAACGTAGTATTTCGCTATTTTTATGTTTACTTTATGTATCATAAAACACAAACTATACATGTATATCGAAGTGAAATCCGTGAAATATTAAAAGCTCATCTTGTACAGTGAAGTAATAGTTAACTTCGTCTGTTAGTGAAGAATGCAATTAAATCCCAGTTCTTCTAGCATTTTTATTTTTAATTAATTATATAAAAGTAAATATAGCTAATAATCTCCAATAAATATAAACCCAGTGGCAGAATATATGAATCCGTTGAATAACGGTAATTCGATGTGGGATCAAATTGATTGACTGTATGGATATTTTCCTGTCTATCCAATTGTAATATGAGAAAATTTCTTTTATTTTCGATGGCACTCCTTCCTTTAAACAGATATCCTTCAAATTCTTTACCGTATAAAAGTTATAGTGTTTCAGTTTCCTCTTCTTTGGTATCTTAAATTAGACAAGAACTCTAAAGACTTGAGTGAATATCTCTTGAAATTACGACAGAAACGTACGAAAGGGGTAAAAGACCTCTTCACTCAGATAAACTTTTAATGGAAGGCACTGCTCGTGCTTACAGAAACAGCCAGCAATAATGGCTTAAATCAAAAGAAAACGAATTTTAAATTACGATTAATTTAAGTCAGCCGAAAGGCTACACAGACGCAAAACGCGCAATTTGTGTCAGACCTTAATCGACGTGACAAGCTTAATGGCGGAAATAACGCGACGCTGAAGATATACTGCAAAAATCAATTAGCAAATGTAGCCTTCAGCAAGCTGAACACGCTTTGATTTTATCCTCTAAAATCTTTTATTAAATACTGTGTTTTTTCTATTTAGTGGAGTCTTTTCTACGTCATATGAACGCACGCGAACTAGAAATTTACGTTCTGTCAGGAAAATGGAAAGCAAGAAAGACAGCAAAAGTAATCAGCATTAAGATAACTGGTTAGTAGAAGTAAATAAATCCTTACAAAATAAACAAACAAACAAATAAATCAAATTACACTTGTACATTCTATTTCCATCAATAACCGGAGACACACGTTAGTAGAATCGCCTGTACTTTCATCAACACACATCATTTCCCCAAAAACACCGCAATAATTCCCTGCACGAACTACTAGGCTCAGAATGAACGCAGGATACGAGCTCCAGAGTTCACGAAATACATGTGAAACTCGAAGCGAAATACATGTGAAACTCGAACTGATGCCCACCAATTCGATCATTCCAAGTTCAGACACTACCTAGAGATGTATTTAGAGGTATCAAAAGATGGGAAACTCATAAAACTCCAACAACGGAGCGGGAAGCCAAAACGATTAGCAAACAGGAATTACTTATGCTTACAAAAATTGATGCAGCCAAACTGCAGGCATCGTAAAAACTGTAACGAATTAACTGTAACAAATAAGAAACTACGCTAGATGTTGTACCATCCGTAAATTTGTTGTTGCATATAAATGCTATGGGGTGCTAATGATCACTGAATGAAATGCTGTCTATCAACTGCTGTTGAACAAAGCGTGTCGCTAGTAAATACTTCGAAAAATATATTATGGAGTGGAGAATCACGCTAAAAGCGCGGCAGTCTAATTGCTATCTGCGAAAATGGCGATTACCAGGAGAATGCTACTTGCAAGAGTTTATTATTTGTACTGTGTAATTTAATGATGAGTTATCTCCTGTGGGCCCGCCACTGTTTTGTTTCATCTTTGGTTGCTAGGTTTCGTACAAAAAATCTAAGTTATAAAACAATATTAGACAATTCCTTTCTACCTATACTACAGCAAGTGGAGATCACCAAAGTCTTTTTTTAGCACGATTACAAGCTCATTCAGAAAGGCAAAGATCATAACAGAAGAACTAGAAGAAAAGAGAGCGAAAAAAATTAGTTTAAAACATTGTTCCCTACTCATTCAAAATTCTCACTTTCAAATTTGGAATCCTTTGAAGCACTGTTAGACAAAGAGAAAACATTTTCCTAAAATGTATGTGGAACTATTCACCATGCTACAGATGGAATTAAACAAAGTACAAACAGTATTTACATTACCAAGCAGTTGCATCTTTATATACGTTCATTATTTAAAACATTTTTGAAACAAAACAACACTTCATGTTTCAGTCTCCTATGAAAACCAGGCATACGAAAAGTAAAATTTATACCTATTGGCGGAGTCGAATGTTACATTTATAACCTCAAAAATCAGAGCAAGTTATTTTTTCAAAGAAGCGTCCATTATTATACGCAAGAGAGAAAAGAAAGTAGAGAGAGATGTTTGTTAAAGGAGAATAAGGAACTGTTTCCCTTTATCATAAAGCAAAAATATCATCATTAGGAAGAGTGGCTATTTTTATTTCTGCACTGCTGCTACTACGACAGAGGCAATTATCTTTTAGAATCTTGCCCTTCTCCTATATAAGCATTTAAAGTTCAGAGAGAAACTTGTGTTTTTCAACCTACTCTAAATTTCATATTCGAAATCATTGTTCCGTAAAATATTCTGCACTTTGTAGTGCATTTTGGAGTGCTTGCATATTTTTATATGCAACTAGAAACGTTACAACTAGAAAGGAACAATCCTGTAAATGTGCAAAGGAAATTTTCAGAAATTAAATTTTTTCAATTCGTTACCTAGTTAAGCGCAATACTCTAAAAGAAATTTTCAAAGCATAAT